TCTTGTTACACTCTTGAGACTAGAGTGTGAGAGGTGTAATGATTATTTTTTTATATATGTTTTAATTTATTGCTAGGTAACGAGTGTTGGTGTAGTTTTGTCAGTACGCTAGAAGGTTCTTGCTCTGCAAGAAACTTCTTACAGTTGACACTGACGGGTATATCAAGAAGAAATGCTATGGAATCTTGAAAAATTTGCAACTTTTTGCCATTCTTCTAAATATGTATAGAGTTGTACAAAAAAGGATTACATGGTATGTGCTCTGATCCTCTTCTGCATCTGTATCACCCAAATCTGTGAGGCAATGGCATTGGCAGCATGCCTTGGAAGGCAGGGCAAACTGTTTCAATTACAGCGTTGGGAGCTGCCCTATCAGAGATATTCTTGTCATAAGCATCATTCAACTTGGGTCAGTTTAAGACTTTTTTTGGTTTGATGCATTTAAGTCCCCAAACCAAGTTGGGACCTGTTTTATCGGGTATATTTAAGGCTGAGAAGACCAAAAAAGGACTTGTTTAGTCACACAGCTCACTAGCAGATTTCAAGGGTCCCAAAATGAATGAAGAAGGAGAGAGAACAGACAGATTGGGAAACAAACATATAATCTGGTCTTTTTTCCAATCACCCTGTGACCAAATTTCTTTTCCTCACAATCAGATATCTTAATCAAATATGTTCAAGTTTTCTTTCATCTCACTCTATTGACTATCCCTGAGTAAGCCCTACAGCCCTTTGCAGAATTGATGACTTTGGAAAAAGAGAAAACACTTGAGTTTTCAAAAAAAACCTGCAAGTTTTTTTCAACAATTGAGCAAGCTCCTTCTCAAGTTGATTGAACAATCAAATTTCATTGCTCATCACAATTGCACACATCAGCTTTGAATCCAGTGCATCTCTCTCAACTTGTACAGAGTTTACTGACAATGATTGAACTCAAGTTGTGCAATGTTCAGTGGCTTCAAATGCAGCAAACCAATTTGTTGATATTCCCTTTGGTTGATGTAGCAAAGAGATTGGTTTGACCTTGTGTGAAGAGGTCAAACAGACAAATCTGATGGCAGAATTCTGTGATAATTCAAAAGGGGAGAGCAACAATTTTAATCAAATAATTTGGATGAATTCATCAAAAAGTAGAAAGTTGAGAAGAGGATAGCCGTACAACATGATGATTGTTATCAAAATGAGCTATGAATGACACGTGAGCTCAAAGCAAGAGGAATCAAGTTTGTTTGTGATTGGTGATATTGATTGATTCAACCAACTTCCTGCCCAGATTTTGAAAAAACTCAGTCACTTTTTGAACAAACTCAAGGTTTTTTTTGAAAACTCAAGATTTTTTTCTCCAAAGTCATCAATTATGCAAAGGGCTGTAACTTCAGCTTTTAAAAAAGTTTCACATCAATATCTCAAAAATGTCCTCATACAACAACTTGGAATCAGATAGTCCAGACACCAAGGCCAACATTTGAGCAGCCCAGGCCTTTGTTAGCTCAACGTACTCCATGACATAGTGGACATTCCTCATAACTGTTCTATCAGAGCAAATTCCAAACTTGGTTTGCAACATAAAAATACTTAGGGCCTGTTCGGCTGTTTTTCCCAAAAGTTGTTACACAAAAGCGACTTTTCATTTTGCCCCGTTTGCAAGAGGCAAAATGAAAAGCTGAATTTTGGTAAACAAACAAGCCAAACAGTCAACCAAAAAGATCAACAAAAGATCAAAATGATCATCGTTGACCGCTTGATCACTGTTTGACTGTTCAGTAACGGTCATGTGAACAGTGATTTTGAATGAATCAAAACTTGAAAATCGATCATTCACAACTGTGTCTCCATCTCAACTTGAGCTGTAACACTTCACACCACGCAAATGCAATTTTACATCTTGCAAGTCTCAGTCAAATTTATTTTTGCTTTTAGATGCATTAATCAAATCTTTTCTTTGTGTTTGATTGAATTGTTCATCAGTTGATTGATCAAATTGGATTTTTCATAAGTTGGATTGAGGTGAAGTGAAGTGAAAAGAAAAGACAAGAGAATTGACAATAGAAGGAACAGTGGATGTGTTGAGTGGGTGAAGGGTGTTGAGTGGGTGAAGTTTTGAGTTTGGTGAAGTGTGGTGTTGAGTTGGTGAAGTTTGAGTTTGGTGAATCGAGCTGAGGGGCAAAAGCTACTTTTCGTCTCAAAAACAGCCTCAAGGCTGCTTTTGAATTTGAACAAACTTTTGATCAAAAGTAGCTTTTGATTTTGATCAAAAGAACTTTACCAAACACCGGAGTTTTTCACCAAAATCAAAAGGTGCTTTTGGTCAAAAGTACTTTTTGATTTTGGTGTAGCTTTTGACCAAAAGCTACTTTTGGGTTCCAGCCAAACGGGCCCTTATACTTTTTGTTTGTAACAACAATTGTAAAAGTTTACAATTGCAGCATATGAAGTTCATTTTTTGAATCATTTGATCATGAGGTATGATGATCTAATTGAAGGTGTTTGATGAGTAGTTCAAAAAGCTCAACTGGATCTTTGAGGATGGACATTGATCAGGTATGATGAGATGATCAAAAGTCACTACAACATATGACATCTTTACCCAGGGGTATAGAAAAGTAG